ACTTTGGTGTTCTGACATGCGAATCATGTAAAGCATTTTTTCGTCGGAATGCAATGAAAGAAGAGGTAAAAAGATTTTCGAATTCAAAATTTGGTATTTTTAGCCACTTTTTTGCATACAGGAGATATCTTGCCCATTTTCAAACAACTGTGGCATTACATCAGCGTCTCGGCGATTTTGCCAAGCATGTCGGCTTCGAAAATGCTTTGCGGTAAATTTTGACCCATTAGGATTTTTGATTGCTCATTATGATATTCTTGCAATATCTCACTTCTAGGTTGGCATGAGCAGGTCATGGTTACAGGAACAAAAGCCGAAACTACATATTAAGAGGAGACGCGCACATGACAGTGATGAGGTTTAGAATTATTTTTCCTTTGAAAAACACTTGTTCTGTGATACGCAGTTTGTATAGTAAGAGGTAGAGGTTTAGAAAACTTTGGAGAATTTTTATTTGTTAGTACTAGGAAGGTGGTTTTTTTTCCCTTTCAGATAAACTCCGATGAGGAAGTAAGAGTGCCAAAAGCATATCTGAAAGAGTTGATCAGGAAATCAAGAAGGTTGGTTTGTTTGAAATTCTTTAAAGAATCAGAGATTCTTTGATAATTATTAGGCATTAGCTCAACCAGGATATCGCTTTAAGACAGAACTGTTTATTTTCGAAATGTCTATCGTCTAACATGGCAATTCGAAGTCAAAAATTTCTGTTATGGTGAAAAACATTTCCTTGCGACGTTATTAGGGTGACATTTTCCAGGGAAGAAAATTTTTACAAAGATACAATAGTAGATTTTGGTCTCAGTACTTTTCTCCTCAATTCTTTTGATATAAACTTACAAATGGCTCAAAAGCTTTTTGTTTCGTCTAAAGACAAGCTCAACTCTCAAATCCTTACACTCTGTGGTTAGCAAAATACCTGCGCAGTAGTAGCAAACACCTGTGGAGTGTTGTAGGAAATTTCAGAATATACCGTGCACTCTTTCATTGATAATTTCTAAGAAATAGTTGGCTCAGTGTGCGATTTCGCTGTCATGGTCGAATTATTTTTCTTCTCTCTGATTTCCCTTTATGAATCCATCTTTCACTAGCGATCTTGTCGTAGGTGGCTATCGTTGCCGTTAACATTTGCCACTTGCTATATCACAAAACCTTAAAGTAGTAGACGGTTGTCAAAGTTTCTAGGTTGTTAGTACTGGGTTTTTATGTTATTTTCCGCGTGTTTTTTTTAACCCTCATTACCCGTATTTCTATTAGATTTTGATCAATAAGTTTTGTATGGTTTGAAAGCTCTTTCCTCGCTATACAATGCTTTCAAAGGTTATCGAACAAAAACAACATTTTTGACACTGAACTTCTGTCGTAGATGCGATTTTCCAAAATTTATTCGAGTAACATCTTTATTAGAAGTGGTAAGAATGAGCCAATCGAAGTGCAGCACTCGCCATCACTTAAAATGTTTTGACTTAATGCTTTACCCAATCAACATTATCAATATTAATATTTCTAGACAATATTATCAATATCTTACACCAAAACCGAAAGGTCTTCTTTTGGGAAGTTTCCTGTTGTCACTTCTTCGCTACAAAAGGTTAAGGCTATGCCTACGGTTACAAATTGCTCACCTAAGAGCAAGGTGGATACATACAGTGGCTGCACAAACCCCCTAATATCAACTACGGCGGAACAGTGGGCGGAGTACCTTGAGGGCTAGTAATTAAACTTTGGTAAACTTTTCAGCTTTAGTTTCAGCAATATGCACGACATAGCATCTCCTCCATAAACGAATAAACATGAAATCATTCGCATTTTTTGGCTAACAAGCGCCATGAGGTATCGAAAAGCTGTTCCCTGTTGAACTGGCATTCCATTTATTAGCTCAAAAAAACAGGATCTGAACCTTGAAGAACGGTTGAACGAGGTTCTGTAATTTGGGAAAAGGATTTTAGAACACAAAGAGTATATAGTTAGAACTGCGAAAAGCGCGTTACAATAGGCGTCAAAAACTAT